CATAAAGTTGTCTACATGGATTGGCAAGTCGGAAACGAGGGTCAGCTCCCCGCAAGTATTCATTTTCACCGCATTTTTGTGTCACTCCTAACACGGCGTTTTCTGCAGCTGTTCGATTTTGTTCACCTCCAAACAGCGAATTTCTGTTGTTTTTGATATAAGACTTTCATTAAATTCATATTTGTTATAGGGAATTTGAAAAATCCGTCAGGAGAGGAGTGAAGAAGTTTGCTAAACCAACTGCATTTTGTTGATTTTTAGGTTTGGATAAAATGACAACTCGGATAGCAGCGATGACGCAGCTGGAAACATCCGCATCTGCAATCGGTGATAGGCTAAGGGTAATTGATGATTATCAAACGCATCACAGACTGAGAGAAGCTACTGGAAGGAAGCGCGCCGAAGACCTCAATGAACGTGTCCTGTTGTGGTCTCTTGGCCAAACAGCTGTTATTCTCATTTTAGGCGTTGCACAGGTAATTTTTATTCATTCATCACTAGATGGAGAGGAGAGGAAAAAATTCATCACTAGATGGAAAGAAAAAAAATTTTTTTTCCAAGATATGCATTTATTATTGTTTTTACATTTATTAGCAAGGACGGAGAACACTGTTGAAGAACCTATGAGCCCAAAGAAATGTTTTTTTCTTCATTTAACCCTTAAAACGTTAAGTCTGAATGTTCCGCGGGTCCCACCAACAGAAAGTGTTTCTTTCCCACCCATGCATATTTATGCTGAAATTGGGCAATATGTCGAAGAATGGATGCATACTTATCTTCGCAAATCTGACGATTTTTTGGAAGGTCTAAAAAAACACGGATTTCGGGAAATATTTGCTTTCGAGAGGGTAAGAGGCAGGAGGGAGGTGGGGGAGGAGGTTGGGAAGGGCGGGGTAATTGACGGCAAAACCGCTGTGAAGAGAGCAGTCCAGACTAATGGGTTTAAATGTCTTTTTTTTAGGTATTCTTATTACGATCGTTCTTCACCGACAAAAGATCAGCGTACTGAATGTGGGTCTTCAGCTTTTATATATAGATTGATCGTTCAAAGTTCTTGTTTGTTATTTGTGTCTGTTAGGCTTGTTGACTCAGCACATTCGCAGGACTGATCGATGTACCGTTTTTCCGGTGGTACCCTCGGGACAAGTTCCATTCCTTCGGTCATTTCTTGTGGAATTTGTTCCAGTTTATCGGTGTATTTCTGCAATAAGGTAGCTGTTTTCGCTGTGTTATTCCAGTTTCTTAGCACAGCTTATTAGGAAGCAACGATCGTGCTCTGTTTTTTATGCTTAGGGTCTAACAATTAACATTATTCTTCCCGGTTTACTACTAAGCTTTTTCCTTTAATCGCTGCCAATAAATAGGTGCACTTTCGCAAAATGAGCAATTGCAGGGTGGAAAAAATACAAGATTTTGCAAGTTTTTGCCTATTAATGCTTTCCGTCCTCACTGTACCTGCTGCAGCATTATTTTTTGTCCCGTCGCGAAAGCTGAAACTGACATGTGACAGCGTATCGCACACACCCGGTTGAAATTATTGTTCCATACTCTGTAGAGTCGTCGTTAGCCATTATAAACACACAATTCATTACAATTCTCATACTGCTTTTTTATGTATTTTTTTGAAAATTGTCTGGAAGTATTACTACGTTCCTTCGCTGCTGTTGTATAAGACTAGCGCCTACGCTCAGCCATGAACTTTCGACCTTAGGTTTGCAGAAAGATCTGCGAAGAAGTCTAGGTTTGCGAAAAATACCCGCAGTGGTTTAGTGTCTCAGCGGAAAGATCATCAGTGTTCAGAGAAGTAATCGTTTTGTTTCTGGCCCAGGCTCAGCTGCAGTGCATTAACTCGGCCTCGGTGTAATTTATATGGTACTACTGGTGTTAAAAGATATTGTTAATGCTGTTCTGTTGCGTGTAATATTGAGATGCGGGTTCACTGAAAGAAGGGAGAAGCCACCTGGATAAAGGCTGCATAGTAACAATAAATATTCACTGGTTGTAGATGACGATCCACAAAATCGCGCATTGCTTTCAAAGTCTAAAATACAACAATGAATAAGATTTTGATGTGCACACAACTATTTGAGACAACAGATGACTGTTTTCGTGTACTTCGTGTCAATAACAACTTAAGAAATCTTTTTATTTTCGGCTATTTTTTTCCTCTTCCTTTCTGTTTTGTTAGTTCCCGTTTGCCTCTTCTACTGTCCTCTCCCAAACAAAGTGTAACAGTGAGCCATACAAAATAAATTCCTCCAAAACTGCGAAATTCTTTCAGTTAAGCCTCAAAGAATTCGTGATGATTACCATATTA